CATAAGTGAGTAAATAAAGTGGGGAAGGTGTTAAGAATCATTACTTTGTTGTTGCGTTGGCTCTTGGGACATTCTTCTTTGAAGGTTAAATGTTTTCATATCGTTCATATATTCTTGTTGTTCTGTGCTAGCAGCGTCTATTTAATTATGTATGCGCGGTTCCACTCGTGCAAAGCAAAACACAGCCATTTGTATATGCCATAGAGTATATACATATTGAAGCATGTGTGTGTGTTAAATATTGTGGTTTTAAAATTTCTTTCGCCATAACGGACACCCAGCAAACATATACAGGTATTTAGTTAGGAGCAAATTATATCGGAATACGACGAACCCCAGTTTAACTTTTAAGTATGTCAAAAATTAATGGCAGCATCCAATCCATCTTATTTTAACCTACCCTATCCACGATATTCATTCCAATTGTATCGTTTCATATCCGATCCTATTCAGTTATTTCCTATCTAATCCTGTCTTATCCAGCCCAATCTTATCTTAACTATCCTACCATCCCATCCAAAGCCTAGAGTTTTGGAATTTCAAATGACTTCGAACCTTACAGAAAATTCAACTTCGATGAAAAAATAAAATAAAATATACCAATAACAAGACAGTTTTTAGTTTCGTGCATAAACATTGAGTCCTGCCGATAAAACATACGTTAACGGATGGTGTTGGAATCGCTCACATACAACTGTTAAACACGTCAATCAATCTTGCTAATACTTAAACTTCGTGAAAAGTCGATTGCCACTAAGCAACCTTTTCGTTCTACTGTTCTAGAATCCAGCCGATTTAAGTAAGTCCGTAAAACATTGGCAATAAGAGAAGTTCTGTTGTGGGAGAAAAGTAAGTATTTTTACAGTCGTACCCCGAGATTGGATGCAACCCGAACTATGGATTGACTTATTATTGGTACCCCTATCTCAATGCAGGTACTTAGAAGTTTTCACTGACAACCGTTAAGTTTATTGCTAAAAACCAAATTACTGCTGTTATTGCGGACATCCTGGAACGATTAAAATATGCATTTTTAAGGGAGTCTTGCAGTAAAAAATACCACATACCTTAAAGAATGGTTTAAGGCTTAAGAACTTAAACGTATTGTTCGCAATTGGATTCCATTTTAAACTTATTCCGATGGAAAACCTTTAGTTTAACTTGAAGTATCTTAAAGAACTTGAAGATGTTCATGTGGAAATAGAAATTCCCTTCTAGTCTGAGCGTACCAAAATCTAGCTGTTTTCTGAATTTGAATGATTCCAAGCTTGAACCAATTATTATTTGTAATACTTACCTTTAACTTAAATTGATATGTCGTTCCACCTCCGATTTTTACTGAGCTTATATCATTTAATTATAGCCTGTGTTATGTTACTGTTTTTTTTTGAATAATATCAATAACTCTTAATTAAGGGAAACGTAATCGATCTCCTATCACTATTTGAGTTCTTCAATATTTAATTAGAAATAAGTTGACTGGGTATTACGAGCGACTCCTTTGCATTTATAAAGCACATACTCGAACTCGAAGCACATACACTTACATGTACTTATATATTCGATTTGTAATGAGTACTTTATACTTGAATGCACGGTTAGTGGCGTCCTTCAAGGGCTCACAACACTCTATGTCAGGCTAATATTAGATTAACATTTGCTACTTAATCGCGGAGTCTGCACACGCGAATTCACACACACAGACCTATTTACATTCAAAGATGTGAGAGTATGTGGGTGGGATCATACTTTCACTTGCGGTGGATGCGGATTATTGTTGTTGCCACATGATTGATGCATTAAGTACCGCTGTACAAATATATGCGCAAATGAGCGTATGCATGTACCTCGACCTATATTCGATGACAAGGGAGCAATTTACTGTTTGAAAGTACCCGCATAAATAAGCGTTTAATTGGTATTGAGCGCGATATTTTCGCAACATTTATGCTTTAAGGGTGCTTGTTTCAATTTTCTTATTGAAGAAATGTTGAAGCTTTGCTGTTGGTAATTTGTCTCATTTTTTTGAGATTTCAGCCTTATGTAAATGTAAATCATAGGAAAACTGTCAGAAATCATTTTTAATCTTCAAAGCAATGTCTCTGAAATTAAATGATTACAATACAATGGTAAGTGATTTCTCAAAAATTGTTCTAGGGGCTCTTTTCATAAGTTTCATAAATTACCCAAAATGATCAAACTATTGGTAAATCTATTAATTGATGGAAAGTATATATCTATGGTATATAATCAAGTAGTGTCGGAAAATTCGAACAGTAGCTAAACTTTGATGTAGCGATTTGGAAACATTTATAATGTGGAGTCTTATATGGAATGCAAGTATTGTCGCTGTAGTCATGATCGATACTTATTCTAAGAGTATGGGCGATAACTTCAGTATATAATTTACATATCTCGGTAAAATTTCGTACGTATCTTTAAATTGAAAAGTAACGTCCTCTCTCGACAAACAAAGATCAAACTCTATAATTCCCTCATTATTATCGTCCAGCTATATGGTGCGGTGGCGTGGATAATGATATCATCTGATGAGACGGCATGAGGAGTGTTTGCGAAAAAGCTTTTGCGGAAGAGTTATGGTCATACGAGAGTTAAGAATTGAATACAAAGAATATAAAGAATGAATAGGATTTCTAATTTCTAATATTTAAAGCACTAAATAAAGTTAAGTAATCGAGAATACATATCGTCACCTGAAATGCAAAATAACGTAACAACATTTTCGGAAATTTACAGTGGCATGAATGAAACTCGAAATAAAATGGAATATGAGTGAAAAAAAAAAAGTTTAATATTGGTTAAAACTGGTTTATATCTGGGCGGAAAACCTGAAAATGTTGCACTGATCCTCTAATAATGATTCGTTCCTCCTTTAGCCTCAATAACAGCCTTACTTCCTGAAGACATGGAACTCACAAGGATAAATCAATTGATATTTTCTTAAGTTGAGACCATACGAAAATGGCTCTAACATTTTTATCAATTGATTTTCTCTGTTGGTTTCTGGTTAGCAACTTCCCACTTCATTACGTGCCTCAAGTGTTCAATGGGGTTTTAATCGGATGAGTTTTCCATCCAATCCAAGTGTTGAATCGTGAAAATTAACGGACTAAAACATTCTACAGATTAGTTACACAAAATTTGTTTACGATCTAAACATAGCCATTTTGTACGATGGCACGGCGCTGAGTCCTCCTGGAAGGTTAGGCTAGCTGCTAAAAAATTGCTAACCACTGTCGCTCATTTTTGTTAATTCATTATTTCATCAACAACGTGTAGTGGTATGAAAAGTAGCTCTAAGCATTTTCTTTTGAGGAATCCTAATTTTCTTTAAGATACAATTATCGTGGAACCTCTCACTGATTGTGTGATTTTGGCAGGGCATTTTCCATACATAGTAAGCCCATATCTCTAAGCCGTCGGCCTATGGTTTCGACCCTTAAATTCACTTGGTGAAAATTTTAAAGCGAAAGCTTAAATTTATCCGTCCCAGAAAGTAGTCTATTCTCTCAGTGGCTTTTTGAGAACAACCTGACCAATTCTAACTGCTATCTGCCGAGAAGATCACTTTTCTTCTTCTTATGCCAATTTGCTAATTTTTTGGTCACGTGTAAATTTCTTCTAACCGTTGGCATTTTGCACAACTTTTCAAATAGACAACCAAAACAAGACTATAATTCAACCCAATTTTACAAAAATTAATAAATTAATCAGTGCCTACTAGAAATGCGGTGGTGCGCTTTTATTGGTCGTAAAAGTATATGCCTTAACTTTTCATTTCTAGATTTTTGTTTCAACGCTCTATCCACTTTTTAGACGAATGCCCGAATCGGGAAAATTTTAGCAATCTCTGGGTTGGTCGAAACTGCAATTAACAATCTGTTTGCAAATCTAAAATTTGGAAAGTTTAGAAAATTGTTGAATCATCAGTAAGGTAATTTTCTTTCGAAATTTTTGAGAATGCCGTCAAAATATTTTAATAAATTAACGCAAACACTTGACTTAATTCATACAAAATTTTTTTACTTGTGTCTTAGTTAGGTAACGCTACGTAGTTTTTTATTAAATAAATTGGATCCACAAAATCATTGAAACAAAAATAATAATAAGAAGTACGCGTCCAGCCACTTGCCGCACACCGTCAAAAAGAACACGACGTAAATGCTCCCGATGCTACAGCAACGATGTTGCAACAGCAATTGCCTGTCAGCAAAACAACGCAGGATGCCACAGAAATAATGCCCTTGTGGCATGCAGCTGCATTTTAGACCTAAGCAATCCTAAAGGTCAGCCATACGAAAACACAAACAAATGAAAATGAAAACTGAGCGACTGAGAGTGAGTCCCAAATGAGATAGAGTGAAAGAGAGGAGACAGGAAGCGCTTTGATGTGTTTCAAATTGGCATTGAATGCACGTCTGTGAACTTAGTGCTTGCAGCGACCTCTTCCGGCAGTTCCACGCAGAGTATATGGTTTCCACGCGCTTCGCTCTGAGCACAGAAGCCACGATGTTACTCATGGCATGTCAAAAATACGCTCTGTGTGCTCTCTGTTGTCCATGAGTAGTCAGCGCTAATGTGCAATCATAAACTCTCCTTGACTTTGATGACCAATTGGTGAGCACTCACCGCAAATGCAGCTGCCTTTTTGCCATCCGTTACCTGCTGTATGTGCTCCGGTGTGCTGCCTGCTAAGTTGTTTTTCAATGCACTCATTATACTCTCTGAAACGCTTCTTCAGTCGCTCTCAAACTTGTTTTTCTGCTTCAGATTGCAATTGCATGAGCTGCTCGGCGCTCCGCGGCTTGCTTTGAGCGTGCAATTCACTCGAAAACTACATTGTAAAATTTAAGGCAATCGCTTGTCGACTTGTTTGGAAGCAAAATTATTTACGCTTGGCCGCTTCTCCATGGGCCACTACAGCAGACCGAGGTGTTGTTAACACACTCAGATCGTTCAAGATTTAGTGTAGTTCGTTGCTTGGCCGCGTGCGGTTGTAAATTTACTTTGCTATTAGGCAAGAAATTAATTCGAACATTTTCGAAACTCCGCAAAAATTAATACAAAAGCCGTCTATAAATGTAGAGCACCGAGTTCGAGAATCGAAAAAGTGCCAAGTTTTCTTTCGTATTAGCAAAACCGTGATTAAAGCGAACACTTGGATTATCGCTCACGGTGCAGCTATTGCACAGAATTTGGAAAACATTTCTAATAAGTGTTTAAAAAAATATTATCAAAACATAAACTAATGATCATATAATGCTAAATATTGTGTTGAAAATAATATCGTAACTCAAAATGAGTTTGTAATAAAAAACAATGAATACTTGTGAATTTTAGGCAAGTAAATAACTATAAAAACAACAACAAAAAAATAAATAAATAAATAAAACAAAATAACTGAAGGCAAAAAAAAGCATCGAAAATATTTGTGTTTGCCACTGAAATGAGTTATTAGTGGTTTTGTGTTAAAAATAGTAATGAAAATTCAAATTCAATCAAATTGCAATTAAATTGCGTGGGAAAATTTGGAGAAATCATAAAAATCGCATGACAATTCATTGCACGAGTTACTGCTGGACAGTTGGAAAAGGTTGGTGTTATGAGAAGAAAAAAAGCTGTATTTAATTTTTGAACATTTCGTAAGCGTTCAAAACATGTTGATATGTGAAAACGGTATTAGATTTTAAAATAATAAAATTTAAACCTTATAAACATTGAAGTTGTCAAATGTAAAGCTTAAATATATTAAAATCTTTAAGGACTAATTGAAAAGTTCAATTTTTTCCTTAAACAATATTAAAAAAAAAACGATTCTTTAATTAAAAACACAAAATGAACAATAATATCAAAAATCTATAGATTTAAAAATTTGTAGAGGAATTTATTTATTCAAAAGGCGATGAAGTCTAAACTAACATCAAAAATCCATCTCAATGTGTATTAGGAAAACTGTGTTTAAAAATCAAGGCCTAATCTTTTTCTTTGTGCCAGTTAACGCAAATCCTTGCAATAAGCTGAAATTAATAGGCGCTAAATTGTTGAAATTTTGTTTTCTAAAATAATGTCTGTAATTTATATTTTTTTATAATTTATATTTAATTTATATTTTTTGCATAAGCCAAACTGACAACTGATCTGTTTTTAATAATCTTATTTACATAATTTTTATTGAAAGTATAGTAAAAAAATATGCTGGTAAATCCTTATAAAGAAAGTGAAATAGGAAAAAAATAATAATAATGTGTTTGGCAAAAACGCTATTACTGTAGAGAATTGGTATCAGAAACATAGAAACTACTAAGAAAAAATTATAGAGAGAACCAAAAAATTGATACTGAAAAGTTTAGTACCGAAATAACATAACGCAAAATTTCACTTTTCATTAATATTTTGTTTGTTTTAATTTTGAAAATTAATATTTGTGATTTTTTGAAAATATAGTTTTTAGAATGATTATATAATTGTTGCTGAAATAAAATTAAATTACAATAAAGTTTGTGCAGTTAATTTTTCTCAGAAAACTGTTATGGAAAGGAAAAATTATTGAAATTTTGATTAAAAGAATTTGTTTTTGCTTTCTTTAACAAAATATGTGTGAAAAAAAAAAAAAACCATTATATCAAAAAAAAAAAAAAAAAAAAAAAAAATCATTTTAATAAAAAGTTTATCATTTCAGAAAATTTGATATTAGCTATATTTTCAGTTCATAGTTTGAAATAGATTGTTGTAAGCGCCAAAAAATAAGTGCATTTCCATTTCAAGTAGGATATTCAATTAATGAAGACTACAAAGCACAGAAAGAAATTTGTTAGTAAACCGGAAACTCAACTGCACATAATTCACCATACACAAAGCTATATAACTATAACTATAACGACATACATTTCACATTGAATTAATTTACTGCACTTCATCGCATTATTTCATTACCTCTTATTCTTTTTCTTTCTAATAGCAATGGTTCGTTTATAAAATCAACACTCATTAAAAACGTATGAAATAGAGCAAATCTAAAGAATAATAACAACTACATTGGAACACAGCTTAATAAGGAACCACATAGACACACACGTATACGCCACAAAATGTTGCAAATCAAGAGCATTATCTACATTTCGCTGTTCTGCCTGCTGCTCGCCACCAAAGCTAGCGGCTTGGCTAACTGTCCATCAGGTTGTCAGTGCGATGACAATACCTTGATCGTGCAGTGTGGTGAGGGTCAATTGGATGTGCTGCCGATTGCACTGAATCCGTCCATACAACGCCTGGTGATACGAAATAACAAAATCAAGACGATCGACTCTTCGATACAATTCTATGCCGAGCTGACATTCCTCGATTTGTCGTCGAATCATCTAATGACCATACCGCAGCGCACCTTCGCCTATCAGAAGAAGCTGCAGGAGGTGCATTTGAATGACAATAAGATCGGCGCAATCAGCAATAAAACATTCATCGGCTTGTCGGCCGTAACAGTATTGAATTTACGCGGCAATCTCATTTCCGAGCTACATTTGGGCACCTTTACGCCGTTGGTTAAAATTGAAGAGCTGAATTTGGGTAAAAACCGCATTGGCTTTGTGGATCCGAAAGCGTTTGACGGTTTGTCGCAGCTGCGCATCTTGTATTTGGATGACAATGCGTTGACTTCGGTGCCCGATCCAGTTATTTTTCAGGCCATGCCCAGTTTGGCGGAGCTCTTTCTGGGCATGAATACTTTATTGAGCGTACCGGCAGCGGCCTTCCAAGATGTGCCGGCCTTAACGCGTCTGGACTTACGTGGCGCTGGGTTACGGAATATTTCGCATGACTCATTTAAAGGTTTGGAAGCGCTGCGCCAACTGGATCTTTCTGACAATCGCTTGACGCGTATACCCACCTTCAGTTTGAGTAATTTGGTGCGTTTAGAGGAATTAGCTTTGGGTCAGAATGATTTTGAGGTGATTGTTGAGGGTGCTTTTGTTGGTTTGAAGCAATTGAAACGCTTAGAAATCAATGGCGCTCTAAGGCTGAAACGCATAATGAATGGCGCGTTCTCGACCAATGGCAATTTGGAGTTTTTAAACCTGTCTTCGAATAAGATGTTGCATGAGGTGCAAGAGGGCGCTTTGAGCGGTTTACCCAATATGCGTCATGTCATATTGAAAGCAAACGCGCTTACCACCCTCGCAGAAGGTCTGTTTCCATGGCGTGATCTCATCACGCTCGATCTGTCGGAAAATCCGATCTCTTGCGATTGTCGTGTCATGTGGCTGCGTAACTTGTTGGTGGAAAAGAACGGTACCAACGATGCGATCTCTGAGGTCTACTGCGCTTTTCCCGAACGGCTGCACGGCGAAGCTTTGCGTAACTTGAATCCGGCGCTTATGGGTTGTACACACACCGATCCACGCAAGCAAGCTTTGATTGGGGCATTACTCGTCGGGTCGGCAGCCACGATCACCACCTTGGCGCTCATATTGTATCGTTGTCGCCGCAAGATTCGCGAATACATCAGTAGCGGTGTTTGGGGTAACTCCGCTTTGGGACGTAAAGAACGTGAATACCAGAAGACTTTTTGCGATGAGGATTACATCACGCGCCATCAGCATCATCCCTGCAGTCTTGGTATACACTCGACCTTCTCAAACACCTACACCCCACATCATCCCGCTGCACGTCATTATGGCTTCTGCACCATGCCCATTAACGATTTAAACGCGCCAGAAGCACAGAAGAATCTACAACAGCTGCAAGTGCCCACTGCCACAGTGTTGAGCGAGAAGAAGGCACTACAAACCGGTATTAGCATTGACGATTGCGCATCATACTCGCTACGGCTTAAACCCTGCAACGGCAACGTTGTGGAACCGCAGCCGAGCGTGAACCATTACACGAAACCGCAATTCGCACACTCCGCCGTTACGCTAGATGTCGGTGAGTCGTGTTACTCGTATGCCGATGTGCCAATGATGCATTCGCCCGCGGTGAATACATGCGAAGCACGCCAACACCAGCTGCGTCTCACGCAAGAGCACTTCAAACAACAGCAGCAACAACAGAAACAACAACAGCAACAACAACCGTCGCTGCATTATGGCACTTCATCACGTAGCGATTGTGATGCGTCTAGCGAGGTAATGGATGCCAATTATATTTACAGCAACACACACTATTCGATGCCGTTAGAGCAGGGACGTTGCGCCAAAACGCCCACACCACCGCCAATACCGCCAGCATTGCCCTTACGTAATGGCATAGCGACTACAGGTCGTCGCTCCTTCATGGGCGCCAATACACAAAAGCAACAACAGCAGCAGCAGCAGCCCTGCAACAACACAATGCGTAATCCCCACTGATCGCAGGTGTTTAGTGTGGGTAATGAGCTGTCGCTGGCTGTGCGTTACCCTACCTATCACCATCCGAAGCTGAGCTTGCACGCTTAGTGGGCGCCAACTGTGATGTGACCGCGTGTCGTAGCGTAAACGTATTATCAAAACGGGACTTTTAGATATGGTATACAGAGGGACGTTAGCGTGTAGGAGAGATCACGAGATAGAATTTCAAGTATTACTACTGGGGACCCTTAGTACATAAATAGTGAACCAACGAATTATAGAACATAAGTAATTAACTCGTATGTAATTAGCAAAAACGATAATAGATTAAGTCCGTGCACCGAAAATTATCCTTTGGAACCCAGACTTTCGAGGAGTGAAATTGAATTTCAAAAACAAAATGGTACTTTTTAAAAATTTGTACATAAATAATAATTTAAAGCAACAAAAGCACTTACTTATGACGAAGAAATCTACAAATCGGAAGACATAGCATTAATTGTAAATAAATTATACAAATTGTCTAAGGACTACTTAGTTCATTAGCATTATTATTATTATCACTTTTTTGTTTCGAAAAAAAGCACTGACTTAAATTTTAGTAAAGGTAAGTGTACCGTTAAGCGAAAACTGTACTTAACCGCTAAGCAAATGTAAATTATTTTATAAAAAATGTTGTTTAGTTAGTTTATTTAGTTTTAATACAACAACACAAAAATCATTTCTAATAGTTAGAAGAATATTTAAATTATATATAAAACATCGGTAAAAATCACAAAATTATCATAATGAAGTAAATAAAATATGAACTTTTTTGAATTAAAAATAAACGAATTTACGTTTTCATTAAGGGAAATGATTTGGGCTATACTTTGAAAAATGGTAGGTAGTTTGATTACAGAAAAAATAAAAATTAAAATAAATAAATAAGAGAAAGATTAAGGCTAAACCAATTTTGAAAACAAAAATATTTAAATCAGTGAAATTAAGGTAGTTTTCACAAAGATCGAATGCTTTATGAAAGGAAAATAGAATTATCAAGAAATATATATTAATTCATTCAGTTAAATAAATTAAAAAATTAATTATTTAATTCAATTATTAAAGAATACAAATTAAAACAGATTATAAAAAATTATTTTATTTTTTATTTTAAAAATCTTAATTCGTTTTTTTTTTTTTGGAGCATACAAGTCCTAAAATCATTTTTCAATTGATAAGATACTGAAAATCGATTCCTCTGTTCAATTCCCTATAATGTTACACTATTGGATAAACGCGTTTTTTTTTTTATGAAACATCATTTCTCAAATTGAAACTTTACCGTAACATTATTTGGTAAGTTACGTATGATTTTTTTTGGCATATTTTAAACTCAGAACTCTTAAGAACTTAGACAGCTTACAATAATCCTTTCTTTTAGAGTCCTCTTAAAAATGTGAATGCGAAGATGGAACCGTTATGTCTAATACTCAAATCTTACATCAAAATGTTATTAACTATTTCAAAGTCTTAGGCGTTTCCAGCTTTTCACAAGCTATTCTGTTCTCCACCAATAAAGTTCTTGAGGTTAGCAGAAAATAAATGTCTCCTGTTGCTTGCTTTCGAAATTAACATTTCCATTGGTAGCAGCGTCATCTTTGATAAATATTACAAAATAATACAAAACGTCAAAGACAATTGTTTAGGCACATAACCTTACAGGACTAGAATTATACGAAGAACTCCACATTAAACTGCAGGTTTAAAATTTCCCCATAAAATAGGTACATGAAAGAAAGGAAGGCCAATACGGCTCTTTCAAACACACGCATTCATGCAGATCTAACTAAAGACCTGAAAAACACACGTCCCTACCTGACCACGCATATATAATATTTCCAGCGTTTCGCCGAGGCGCTCCAGCTGTGCAACGGATTGTGTGAAATTAACCAGAACTATTTTTGAAAATTGCAAAGAAATTAATAGCTCATCATTGCGAAGGGAAGAGAAAACCAAGATATTTTTATTGTTTGTGTTATTGGTAGGCTATCGCGAAGGCTCTTGGTGGGAATGTGTTTTTTGTTTTGTCTACGAAATAAAAGACGTAGCAACACCCAGCCTTAGCGACTTTTGTTTAACTAGCCCCAGTGTGTGAATGTGTGTTAGAAATAGAAAGAAGATATTATGCGGACATTGCAACGATTATGGATTTGCGGGGTTTCTTATAAGCACCTTGAGATGAAAGCGAATAGTTTGGAGAAGAATAAGAGTTCAGTGCGCAGTTGTTATTGATGTAGGCTCTTTAGGAGTGATTAGTTGACCTTTTGTAGACCTTGAACATATACATATGTATATACACACTATATAATAATTGTTTATTGCAATTTTTCAAATTCAAGCGCGCAAACTAAAGGTCAACACGCCTGAAAGCGAGGCTTCTTGATAAGGAAATGGGGTATTTTAGATTCTATCGTTATACTATTAAGTTTAAAAAAATTTCTATTTCTTATATCGGGTGATTTTTTTGAGGTTAGGATTTTCATGCATTAGTATTTGACAGATCACGTGGGATATCAGACATGGTGTCAAAGAGAAAGATGCTCAGTATGCTTTGACATTTCATCATGAATAGACTTACTAACGAGCAACGCTTGCAAATCATTGAATTTTATTACCAAAATCAGTGTTCGGTTCGAAATGTGTTTCGCGCTTTACGTCCGATTTATGGTCTACATAATGATGAGGCTCATTTCTGGTTGAATGGCTACGTAAATAAGCAAAATTGCCGCATTTGGGGTGAAGAGCAACCAGAAGCCGTTCAAGAACTGCCCATGCATCCCGAAAAATGCACTGTTTGGTGTGGTTTATACGCTGGTGGAATCATTGGACCGTATTTTTTCAAAGATGCCGTTGGACGCAACGTTACGGTGAATGGCGATCGCTATCGTTCGATGCTAACAAACTTTTTGTTGCCAAAAATGGAAGAACTGAACTTGGTTGACATGTGGTTTCAACAAGATGGCGCTACATGCCACACAGCTCGCGATTCTATGGCCATTTTGAGGGAAAACTTCGGAGAACAATTCATCTCAAGAAATGGACCCGTAAGTTGGCCACCAAGATCATGCGATTTAACGCCTTTAGACTATTTTTTGTGGGGCTACGTCAAGTCTAAAGTCTACAGAAATAAGCCAGCAACTATTCCAGCTTTGGAAGACAACATTTCCGAAGAAATTCGGGCTATTCCGGCCGAAATGCTCGAAAAAGTTGCCCAAAATTGGACTTTCCGAATGGACCACCTAAGACGCAGCCGCGGTCAACATTTAAATGAAATTATCTTCAAAAAGTAAATGTCATGAACCAATCTAACGTTTCAAATAAAGAACCGATGAGATTTTGCAAATTTTATGCGTTTTTTTTTTTAAAAAAGTTATCAAGCTCTTAAAAAATCACCCGATACTTTAGTATTTTCGCAACATGTTGCTACAGAGCATAATAGTTGTTTGAATCTGCGAAAATGAGCTGAACTGAGTTCCGCATGACTGTTTGTCCGTTCGACCGTCAGTCCGAAGCATCGTTGAGCCTAGCCGGCACTACCCCGGTAAAAACGTGTTGAAAAGAACTATAAGCCTATAAACAAAATCGACAGAAGCATTAAATTTTACCGTAAATTGGTATAAAATTGTATAAAGTGAGCGGAACTGCATACTTTTTGCTGAAATTCCATTTCTCAATGGCTACTGGACAGATTTCTATCAAATCTTATGCAAAACATTGTATAAAAATTATTGGGTCGTGATTAAATAATTACCAAAGCCGCCGTCACTTCCGCCACGGTAAAATAAATCCATCAGGTCCTTTCACCATACAATACATAACTAAATGAAACAGTAAAAAAGATATTGGAATATATCATAATAAAATAAGCGCAATCAGTCGAAAGTTATGTGTTCCCGGAAGAAATTTCCTAACTTTCTCGGTGCATGCTCTTTATTATGCCGTTGCTATCTTACCTAATTTTTAGCGGCAATGGGCAAGAGGATAAATGCATTACAACAACAAAATTTCGGAAGAAAAATATACTTTTGATATATCGTTTAACTTATGGATAAAATTTTAGTAGCTATCAATGGCTGTACTTTTGAACCTTTTTCACCGCTGAAGTGGGTAACCTAATCCAGTCTGGTGTACAAACCCTATGTTCAATTCGTGTACACTATTTAATGATAGCGCCTACAATCTACTTCATAACTGGATATAGTTATGAATGATTTTTTCAATAAGTTCAATTTCGAATTTCGAAAACATCTATTTCTAACTTCAAAAACCATTGTTAGTTATGACTGAATCATATTCAATACCCATTAGAGTGTAGTACACTGTTATTGATAAGATGTTATCCTTCAGGCCTATTGTTGAGAGGTATTTCGGTAGTTCTCCCTAAGGGGTTAGGGGTAATCAAAGGCATGAAGAAATGAGAATTTTCAGTATGTTTTTTTTTTTTGCTATTAAATCATGTTATTTTACAGAAGTAGTAATATGGCATTATTATAGAATTTGTTGATTTGAAGTCAGGAAAATTTCAAAAAATAAATTTTATTTCCAAAGTTATAGTTGTTTGTGTTTACCGTGTTCCAAATAAATGTACTTGCGGTGACAACCATAAGTCCTTGGGAATTCATCTAAAGTCAATCAGACAAAAAAGAATAGTTTTATAAATAGATAATCCTGGGTCTGATCGACCTCAGGAAATTTGTTGCTAAATTTTTGTGAAAAAATCAACAGTTAATTGGTCTTACAAATCGAAATTTTTGAAAAAGTAAAAATCCTTCGATCAGGCACGAGTTACAGTTGTCACTAGTTCAAAAAACATAGTTTTGAAAAAAGCGCGTTTAAAGTTCACACTAGCGTTTTGAAGTGCCCGAGCTCGCTTTCTTATTTGTCGAATAAACTAATTATCGGATCAACGTAAAATTTTCAGAGAATATTTTTAAGATGTTACACTTAACGAAAATGCACAAAAAAAAACAAATTTTTTTAAAATTCTGACTACCCCTAACCCCATAATCGCCCCATATACAAAAATCCAGATGGGATTTGTTGAAAGGCGATATATAGGAATAGCTATTTTACTACATTTCAAATTACGGAGACTTTTGCAAACTCAAGCTAAATTTTTTAATAAATATATTATACATATGGTATATATATTTTTACGGCTTTACAAGCACATTTAACAGCGTTTAGGAGAATGAAATACATCTTCGAATCAATAAGTAATTAAGCACAATGAAATATGCAATAAAACGCTAATCAAAAATTCCCAAGCCGCACGT